CTGTAAAAAAATTGTACCTGAAAGAAATCGAAATTTGGGCTATGTAACCGTTAAATGGTCTGGAGACATAATAGAAATCCTCAAATATACAAGTCGTAGGACCCAGGGTTAAAAATGGATCAATTTTTGACGTTATAGGTACTAATCAATAAGTTTAAATTTAGAGCATGTTGTCCAACCTTGACCTTTGTTCAGATTACTTATCGATTATTATTGATAAAAATGATAAAATATAGTGCAATATTGAAAGTTATGCAAGGACAAATCCATAATAAATTCGATAAATCAAAAGCTAATTTTCCACCATCGTGTCAAGAATAAGAAGAGATTTTAAATGTGAGTGAAAATCATATAATTTTTTTTTTTTTAACTTTGTTAATTGATTATAAAAATGATTTTATAGAAGAAAAGGTATTAAAAGTTATAAGTGAAACTTAATATAAGCCTCCATTCCAACATAAAGTAGAGCACGGAAGCCATCCATCCTCGGTCACTTGACGAAGGGAATCGCACATGGAACTTGCGGATTCCAGCCCAGAATCCAGGCAAAAAAGGGACTAGAATTGTTGTCAAATGTGGGGCACACGTATCGACTTGTGATGGACTTGATGCCACACTCCACGGAAATGTGTTACTATTGAAAATGTGGCCTTTTTGGAATGGACTTGTTGAGAAAAATGGCTCTCCGAAAGACCATAAGTAATAAGGTATTCCATGAACAACCATTACTTGAAAAAAAAAAAAAAGAAACTTACCACAAGTGAGGTCGAAATTCAAACTTGAATAAAACGTTAATCACGAGACTTTTTAATTAAATTTTTTCGGTTATCAATGGATTATTACCCTAAGCAACTTTATTTCGTTACGATAATGCCTGAAGGCCGATAAGGTACTTTTCTCCACGAGAACGGTAATTCACTTGAGGAAGATGACTGCCCGCCTACGCCACAGTCGACCTATCAACCTGTCAACCTTCAGCTATGTGAAAATACATGTACTACGTTCGACAACTATTAACGAGGTTAAAGAGCAACAAAGTAGTACGTCGAGTAGATCAAGGTAGTGCAAAAGAAAGTACCTACGGCCTTCTCGAAGTCACCGATAAAATAATTAATTCAGCCGGCAATAAATGCCGCCATATGGCTGAATAATTATATAAAGTGTAAAAATTATTTATATAAAAAAAGCAAGTGACATTTGCAATGTTACAACCCAAATCAGAAAAACTTATTTTTCCTCTATACACATTAGAATATGAAAATGTCGGTTTCTTATATATATATATATATATATATATATATATATATATATATATATATATATATATATATATATATATATATATATATATATATATATATATATTATTCTACTGCACGGCCGAAAAGCAATAATTCTACAAATAAAACGCTCTATTGAATATCGATCACCGTTTATTTTATGGTTGCGTGGGCCCTTCAAGCTTAATTTCACAAATATATCATTGAATATAAAATTAAATTGACAATAATTTAACAAGCACCTCTTTTATGTTTTTCCAATATTTTCTGCGTTTTAAAAATCTAGAAATTGTTACTCCACACAAGTTGACTAGGGTTTCCTCACCGGTAATACGCTGAATATTCTAAAGTTCAGTAATAAGAATTTTTTTTCCAATCAAAAGTCCATGATCCAATAAGAGTAGCTAACTAAGTAATTTAAAAGAAAAATTATATATTGCTTCCATAATACAGGAAAATTTGCATCAATTAAGCTTCCTTTTACTTTGGCTTGTTAAAGCTGTTTTTACACAAAGCAGGGCTCTGACTGAAAAGTGTATGAAAATATCCTCGAAATAAGTTCTTTGACAAAAAACCTCACCTTTATATCGACATGAAGCAAAAAAAATCTTCAAATAAAAAGTAAGATAAAACTCTCCTAAACTTAAAACATTGGAAAGTTTTTTTTATTAGTAGTTGCCAATTTCAATGAAACTTGGACATGGACATCATTCTTCACTTGGGCTTATCATTGGTTTGAAATAATAAAAAGCGATATGGAAATTTGAGTGAACTGTATTTGCTTTTGATAATGATCCTTTCTAGCTCCTTTTGTACAAAGATATTGAAGATTGTGGAAGAAACTTGCATAGATATCTTGAAGCAACTCGCTTTTATTTGTTGTTTTTATTTGTACTCGGTTTGTACTCGGTTTTATTGAAGAAAATGGATTCCATCTGAATCAAGTTCCACAACCCAGTCGGAAAAAGTTATGGAAAAGCGTTCAAAAGAGGCTGGAATCGCAATCGTTCTCGTATAACAAATTAGTTACTACAAAAATCAAATGGCACCATCTTTGCCCGGCAGAACCTCGGTGATCCGTCAAAATGGCCAGTCAATTCTTTCATTATTATCATTACCAACTAGCTCAATTTCGCCGACTTTAACTTGTCTAGATGCCTTAACACTAGTGGTGTTTTGAAGTTGTCCAAGGTATTCATTACGAAATCTAAATCTCAAATCATCCCGAATCTTTTGTATCCGCCTTACCTTTCCTTTCGGCACAATGATGATCGGTCTACCACTTCACATTCAGGCAAACCTTCAGGCAGGTGCGTAAACATAACTGGTGTAAGTGGTTCCAATTCACTGGCGTCTTTTCAAAATTCTGATAAGGCGTTCCCAGAACCCAACCCACCATGCTGCTGTGTGGAGGGTTAAAACGCCATGTTATCCGCTCCACGGCTGCATATTTTCCAACTTCGCTCCATTGCAGTTTCTTGAATAAATTATCTATGCCGACAAAAATTAGTTCTATTGTCATTGTATACTACTTTCGGTCTTCCTCTTCGAGCAACAAATCTTCTTAGGGTTTTCACAAAACACTCAGTTGACAATGAACTGGCTAGTTCCAGGTGCACCGCTCTATAAACGGCACACGTGTAAATACAGATCCGGACTTTTTCACCTTTCTTTAAGTATAAAGGACCAGCAAAGTCCACACCAGTGATTTCAAAAGCTGACGCATCACGAACCCGATCTGCAGGGAGAGGTGGACTCTGGACTTGGCTACTCTTGGATGCCTGCATCCGACACACATTACACTTTTGATGTACCTTCTTTTACCCAATATACAGTACTTTTCTCTCAGTAAACTCAATAAACTCTGAACTCCAACATGACAAGACTTCCTATGTGTATCAAAAACGAGCCGCTCAATCACATGACGAGTATTATCGACATGCGAAAAAGTTCGGTATCTTCACGATTTGCTATTAGTCCAGGAGGCAGTGAAATTTTTTAGCACTTATTTCCCCAGTTGGTATCTATGAAATAGTTTGTTCTCCTGGTGATACAAAGCAAGAATTTTTGAGTCTGGCTAAAATTTTCGGATGGGTTCACAAGATCAATGAAAAATACAACTACGCTTATTTTCCCAGACATAAATATTTCACATTTACTACAATGGAACATAAAGTATATGAAAATAATAATTTGGCTTATCTCAGATAGTGAAAGTGAGTCTGGCTGAAAATTTTCAGGTCTTCAATTTTTCACTTGCCAGACATATTATCCATACTCACAGATTAGCCGGACTATTTTTTTACGTAACTTCAGTATACTTCTCATTAGTAGATCTATTTTTATCACTGAGAAAAAAATGGCCGTGCATTCGTAAGCTTTATTGCATTTTGCGCCTCAACCCATCGGAAAACCCCCCCTAAAAATATATGTATTTTGCTTAGAATTACTTACCCTACAACTCTATCCAAGTTGTCTGACTGGGAAAATAAGTACCGAAAATCGTCACTGCCTCCTAGACTATATACGAGACTTCAAACGTACAATGCCAGAATCATCCCAAAATACGTGCAAAGTTTTCAGGCGCGGGTCATTTTTAGAAAAACTTTCATTTTGTACAGTTCGCAAAACGAAAATTTCCGCATTTTCTCAGCGGATAGCACACCAACGCGTTTATCCTCTGGATGTCTCACATTATGTACAAATCTGAATATCCAACCAATCATACGAATAGTTTTAATAAAACTTGAAAAATATATCAAATGCCATTCCGCTGCTCCATTAATTATTTCGGAATTAGCTAAACTATAGTCACAACAGCTTTTTTCTTTTCAGCAAAAATCTCTGCTTCATTATAGGTGACAATTTCGTGAGGCCACAAATTGTGGTTTTCATAAAACCAATAATTGGGACCCTTCCACATCCTGGAATATGACGCCAGTTGTCCGTTGTGGAAGTCTTTCTGATCTCATTCACACTATTACATAAAAAGTTACACCACTCTTCATTTCTCTTAATCTATGACAATACTGTTGTAGAATCAGTCCAGAAAAAACACTCCAATGATTTGAATTCAAGAGCTTTTTTCACAGAATTGCACAATCTAGTGCTAATAACTGCCGCCAGCAACTCCATTCGAGGTATAGTCACAATTTTTATTGGCGCAACTCAACTTTTTGCAGCTAAAAGAGTAATGTTAACTGTATCCCGATAGGCACATCTAAAAAGACCGCCGTACCATAGTTCCCTTTACTTGCGTCGCAAAACGTGTGTAAGCTCATTCTAGTTCATTCACCAAACGCATGTATCCAACGAGGAACTTGCATGTCAACCAAAATGGGCAACGCTTTTATCAAGTCTCGGAATGACTTCTCAATGTCTTCACCAACTTCAGTGTCCAACGCCAATTTTTCCTTCCAAGTTTCCTGGAGGAGCTTCGGAATCAATGTAATCCGACAGGCAAATCCAATTGGATAAACACCCTCTGAGCCAATGATAACATGATCCGCTTGGTAACTGGCTTATTCATAAGTAAGTGACATACTAGCGGCGGCGCCGCGACTTGCCGCGTTTACACCACAACATGCGGTAGCGCCACTGTGAATGTGTTACATAGTTTGTTACGGACGTGTTCATACTTGCGTCGCGGCCGCATGATAAAAAATATTGTCCGGGGGTAAACTCATTTGTCTCTTGTCGCGAACTGGGTCAGTTGTGCTAATGTTAGTGGAATCAAAGGAATGTTTATGGAAAATCTCTGATAAGGATTATAGTAACAGGGATAAGAAAACGAACGCCTGGCAGGAAATTTGTAAAGAAATGTTTCCAGACTGGGAGGAACTAGATCAAGACGAGAAGCGTGAAAAAGGTAAGTCCAATATGCCTAACTGTATTTTTTATTTTAACAAAAGCACGAAAACACATAAGTAGACAAGTAGTTCATATCATACGTTGTTGCCAAATAATAGCCCCTTCTGGAGTAACAAAGTAGTAAGCAAAATTGTCGCGAACACCATGTCCCTCTGTTCGCCCTCCGCCAGTACCACGCACCGGAATATCCTCTAAATTACAAGATAATGTGTCTTCGAACTGATACCCATCTCTTCTTCTTACAAAGTTGTGAAGTACGCAACCTGCTTGAATGATTTTAACACCAAAATCCGGCTGTACTAATATAGGGGCGTGAAATACGCGCCATTTGTTGCTGAGTATACCAAAAGTGCATTCAACAAAGCGTCTAGCCCGCGTAAGTCTGTAATTGAAAATACGCGTCTTTTCATCCAAATTGCGCCTGGAGTACGGTCGTAGTAGATTGGTATGGAATTCGGACTCCATTCGGCTTCATTCCCAACAAAAACAAACGGCTGATGCGGTCTATTGGTTCCGGGCAAAGCTCGAGGTGGTGGAAGATTTAAAGTATTACCGTAAAGTTTCACACCCAACGCGGATTGCTTAAAAATGTTACAGTCTGCTTCTCTGCCATGGGTACCAATATCGACAGCAATGAAACAGTAGCTTGCGTCAGCAACTGCCATTAACATCAGTGAAAAATACTTTTTGTAATTAAAGAATTGTGACCCGCTATGGTGTGGAGATATTATGCGGAAATGATTTCCATCAACCGCACCAACACAGTTCGGAAAATTAGAACGCGAAAAGAATTCATCAGCACATTGTAACCATCTTTCTGTGGTGGGTTCAGGCATTTCAATGGGTTGTAAAATTTTCCACAACGCAGTGCACGTGTCTCTAACTCTCTTCGCTACTGTACTTCTTCCCATGACGAATTCGTGCTGCAGAGCAGCAAAATGCGTTTCCGTCGCCAAATATCTGGAACAGAATAGAATTTTTTTAACATATATGAATTTGCAGGGGCAGAAGTCCAAAAAAAAATGGAAAAACCTAAAAGATAGGTTCCAGAAGGAGGTGCGAATGGAAAAAGCTGTAAGAAGCGGGTCTGCTGCTTCCAAAAAGAAGAAGTATGTTTACTATGACATCATGCAATTCTTATTACGTCAGCTTGAAAGTCGCAGGTATTATTTGCATTATCTTTAAAAATATCTTTGTGATGTTGTATTTTCAGCACTGAGTCAAATATTGAGCCACCTAATCCACCAGAGTAAAACTCAGACATGTCACTCTCGGAGACTATTGAAGATGACTCCCTGGAATGTCGCCCACCACCTCCGAAACCTCCAAGAAAATCTGTTCAATCTAGCCAAAAAACCAATTTTGAGACTCAATTGCTTCAAATCCTGGAAAATCGGAGAGAAACACAACAAGAAGATGAAGATTTGGCATTTTTTCGATCACTGTTACCTGGTGTCAGGAAATTAACTGATCTGCAAAAAACTGCGTTCAAAATGGACGATCTCAATGCTCTACAGAAACAGCAACGCCTAAATATTCCTCAAATGCCCCCTTACAGTCAACCATCTGTGCCATACCCTTCAACCTATTCTCACTACCAGACTCCTCAAACTTTTACTTCCACTTATCAGTCACTCAATCCACCATCCTCTAAAAACTACCTTCACACTTCAACACCTTTTCCCTCACCTTCAGTTTCCGCCGATTCTTCTGAATCTAGACATTCCCAGTTTAGTGAAACTTTCGATTTGTTCCCTCCTAGGAGCACGCCATACATATGTATATAATGCACAGTTGATAAAAGACATATTCTTCATACTTACCTTATAGTTACCTACTGTTAACCTCTCTTCTACACTAATTGGTTCGCGAAATCGGGAATTGCTCTTTTGGAGCGAAGATCGAAGTAGCAGAACTAATTCGTCAAATGAAGTGACCGACATCCTGAAATAATTGAAAAATCTTTCCGGATACTTCCGCAGTTCCCAGAACAAGCAGTGAAATTCGCCTAACGTTAAACGTTTTGTATTTAGCGGGTGAACCCAGCAACTTCTTCGTTTCCTTCTTCGTTTGTGTATTGCATATGCTATACACACTACCTCTATGTCTTGCAACATGTCAACTCACTAAACACTTGGAACAGACTGCCGCGGACGACCGTCGCAAATATAAACGCGTCTCAAATGTTTGCGGCGAAGTCGCGGCGGCGGCAAAGCCGCAAATGTGTCGCCGGCCTAACTCCAGATCTCCAACACATTCTTCACTGATACTCAAAGTGTCATCAGGATTATTCCAAGCAAGTTCCAGAAGAGGAATGGGTTTATCAGAACTATCTGAATGAATTTGTATTGGACAAGAAAACGCCCACCTTCTCAAGTCAAATTGTGCTGGTGCTAAAATCATGCTAGATTGACGTATAAAATTTTGTGAAGTTTGTAGATTCGGTAGACTGGTTACACAGTTGTCCACATAAAAACTCTTCGCTAAAATTAAGAGCAAGGAATTGTCAAATTCAGAAGTACCTTCATTTTGTTTTTCGACTTCTAACAGAAGGTGATGGTTGATGGTGGCCGCTAACAAAAACGGGCTACTTGTCACACCAAAAACAACATGTCTGTGTTTGTATATCCTTTCCTTTCTTTGAGTATCCCTCCAAATAAATGTACACTTGTCTGTAGAAAGGCTTTTCTGATGTTTGAAGTCACTCTGATTTTATTTTTCCGAAATCGTATTAAAATTTCTGGAATCAACTCTGTGAGGTTGGGACCTTTCTGCAAACCTTTTATTTTGGCACTAACGTCAAATACTGATCAGATCTTGGTTGTACTACTAGAACTGGTTTTTACCACTGGCCTATAAGGCAGATAATGGCCTGTATCGTTATCGCTGTCTGGCACCAATTGAATAATGCATTCTCGAACCCATTCCTTAAAAAAAGCATTATATTATGCTTCATACAAATTTTGTGACTCCAATCGCTTCAAGGCTGTTTCAAGCCTTTTCTTAGCGAGAAAGTAATTCGTGGCAAGCAGATGGTATCCTTCCAGCCATGGAAGTCTTATTTCTTACCTCCCCTCATCATTCACTCGAACAGTCTCGTCAAAAAATTCTAAAGCTGCCTTTTCCAAATCAAGCTTACTTTCATTGGCTACCGGCTCAGTAATGCCTAGGACATCTAATTCTCACAGATTACTTATACTATAGTCCATCACAAAGCAACTTGAAATGCTGATGGATAGATATACTTTCTTTGTTTGGTTCTCTAGGTAGGTATCTTTTTCATAAGTACCCATCCCAGCAACGTCTTCTGGCTACCAATCCACTTTTGAGCATCATTCTTTGACCTCTATATACATTTCCACATCATCCTCAATTTCTATATTTAAGTCCAACAATTCCTGCAATCAGGTTCCAGGAAAAACACTTGGAAATTCACAGTAAATCTTAGGCTGATCAAATATACAAGTGTAACCATTATCCGGCAATAAATGAATCTCATAAAGACCATGCGACTGCTCTGACAAAACACCCCCAAAGAGGCAATGCATAATCTTTTACATCGACTTGGTCACCAGTTGCAACGCCTGTGCTGTGGACTTCAAAATATCTGAGCGTTGGGATCCAGTGTCAATCCGAGATCTCACTTCCATAAGACTATTTCCACCCTTAAGTTTCACATTTAAAGTCTGTAAAAACAAATAAGTTCTAGAAACATAAGTGCACGAGAGTTGCGTTCCAGGAGTGTTAGTTCCTTTTGAAGGGTTATTTTCTTCATCTTTGGAAAATCTACTTGATGCTGATTCAGGAAACACTGAAACTGCATGGCTTTTGCCACAAAACAAACATTTAAGTCTGGCACGACATTTACGGCTTTGATGACCAACTTTCAAACACCGGAAGCATGCCTTTTTTGCGGTCAAAATCTCTTTTCTTTTTCACAAGGGGAGACTTTGGGCCCTGAAGCATTAACTTGGACTGTCATGGTGACTTTTCTCGCAGAAAACTCACTTCGTATTACCATTACCCTAACGAAACTCGAAATGTTGCACATGGTTCACAAGGTCAGCTGCAGTTGGCACAACATTCTGTAAACGAAAACTCTTTAACTTTTCTCTTTCATTACCAGTTGTCACACCTCTTGACTTTTGCAATCCAAATCCTTCTGATGCCATCAAAATCCTCTACTCGTTCTCCACTTATTCCTAAGAAACTTTAGCAAAGCCTTCAAGCGGTTTTCCAGAATATTCACACCCGGCGACGATGCACTATAGACAGACGCATCCTCTTCATGCTCACCAGAGACCTCAACACAAAGAGCCAAACTCTTAACAATTCCTCAGGAAAACAAGACTGGATCAAAGGAAAAATTATGGAAGAATACTTATCGGATGTTATGCCCAGCGTTTCCGGTGCTCGCAACTGTGATTCGATAAAGGGTCGATACGTCAGGCTTGGCCTTGGAGACAGCATTGTTTAAAATAAGTCTCAGAAGCTCGCTGATATAAACCTCAATTTGCATGTCTTCTCTGCTAAAACGAAATTTCAGTCTAGCCACAATTTTCTCATAATTTTCTGCTGTAGCAGGAAAACTTTTCACAAGATATCTGGCTCGACTGCCTGGCACAGTTGCCTGAACTAAATATTCAACCTTGTCTGCCGCATCAATTTCTGCGTCCTCATCCACCTTCTGAAACTGAGACCAAAAGGAAAGCCAATCCCTGACATTGCCATTAAATTTGTTCAAATTAAATTGTGGGTAATTTCAACTTTCGCTTACCTACGCATCTTATGTCAGAATATTGATCGCTCGCATGCTCACTTACACGATCCCGAAACTCCTCCAAATCCGCTGGTGGAGACAACTTTCGGGCACTCTTTATCATAAGCTCTTTGAACCTCCTCTCATAAACATCAGTAAATTGAAGTACTCTGAACTGATAGACTTCAATTCATTAAATTTATTATTGAGAATCTCATGGCAAACTTGCACCTTTTGCAAATCAGCTCGGCTTAGGGTTAAAAGGGCTTCGAGTTCATTAGCATATTTTGTAAACGAACCACGGGACACTGCATGCACCTTTTTTTTACTTTCAAGTCCAGACATGTCTCTCCGCTTAGAACCACACTACGAACTTGGTCAAACCCAAGAAGAATACACACTCTAAGAAGTGCTTATCGGCCTCGTTTTTGGTAATCGCCGCCATATTGGTGTGATACCATTTCCGACGTCATAACTAAGTCGTCAGCTGTTTAAACAGCCTACGTCAAGGCAAGAAATGACATTCTGTCTTCGTCACAGCTGGTATTTTACCTAGGGGGCGAAGGGGGGGATTTGTTACACACAGGCCTTATGAGGATAGGCCATCCTGTAGTAGTAGTGTGTATCATACCTGGGTCAAACCGGCCTCGACAATAGCAGTCCGAAATTCGAGGCAAAGTTCAAAATAGAGCGACGAAAGAGAACTCAAGATTTCCTAGCGTTCACACGGTTCACAGTCAATATTTTTCCAAAAATGTTTTTCGAGTCCTGTCACGGTTTCCAAAATATAGGGGATCCACGAAAAACTACCCGTTCAACGGATAAAAGCACCACCAAAAATAAACTCGAAAACGCATCTTTTGGATAATATAAAATACGCGCGCTAAAAACAAAACATTGAAAATCTATATTTTTTTTTGACATTATAGGTATAGTTAGGATTGTATAGGTAGGTGTTTGACATTTTCCCTGTCCTTATTCTTGAAACAGGGGAACAGCGTTCCTAGGAGAACGAGTGTTCCGTCTTTCTCAATGATAATGTAATTGATAATAAGCAACAAAGACGAAACACTCGTTTCCCTGGGAACTGTGCTCCTCTCTTTCGAGAATAAGGACCCTGATGAGATTCGCTTTACGTACTTTGTGTTGTACTGTAGTTATGCTTGCCAGGATATTGTCACAACCTGCTGGTGATGGGGGATGTAGGGTGGATAAAAAAAAATACTCAGAATAAGAATAGAATAGGAGAAAATCATACTCGGAATCGAGTGATCGCCTATGATGATGATAACTTTAGTTATATTTCCTACCTACTCAATTTCGTCGGTAAAAAGGGCCAAAAAATGTTGATTAAATGACAAGAAATGCAGAATTGAAGAAAATATAACAAATAAAAGCCAAAACTAGGTTAAGTATCAACAATTCGACAATCTTTGGAATAAAAACACTTTTCAATTATTGCCTGAAGAATGCGCTTAAATTCTTCCTCTATCA